GAAACAGTTGTTCATTCCGTCCAAACTTCTAATTCTATTAAATTATGCGATATAAAATCGCCCCCCATTCTCATGGGCAATGATCGAAACATCTCATGCGTAAAATGTATAACTCTTCAAACGATCGCAACGAATTGAGATATCATGCTAATATGTTATTGTATGCAGATGGCCCGTAATAAGGCTGAACACAAGCACTGTAATAGCAAGACAATGCTTTAAGCTGTTTAATTTTAGATGGCATTAGATACGTGTATTGTAGGTGGCATAGCATTGAGTAACTATACATTACGTGAATAGGAATTCAGTGGTCAATTAACGCTAGATTTGTATGTCTGCGTAGATCTTGTTTGTGGTGTCGGATCCTGTTAAGCTAGTTGAGTTATTCGTGTGAATACCGATTCACGTGTAGCGTTAGGTAGACTTATTTTGTTTCACATCAGTATATTAGTATAAGTATACATTGAAAATCTATTTGGATTGAAAACATATGACGACACTGGCGGATCTTGAAACGGCACCCACAACCTTCCGTGCTGCTGCTCTAACCAATTGAGCTATCGTGTTTATCAGTGTTTAATGTGATGGCATTATATAAATCAAAGTTTTTAAATGTATATAATGCTATCACGTGGAATAACATGTAAAATATATTAAAGTTTTCAAATATAGGCGAGGTGTTAAGAATTCTGCGCACGGGCCGAAACTATTTCTTGCTTCCCCGGGATCTAAATTTCGAACATAGACCTTATCACACTCAACGCAAGTGCGTTTAACACTTGAGCCGTGGAGAAAATCTATGTCGTTGTAATATATTATAATATTTATATACTACCCATGTGTGTTGATATCAAGTAAAAAAATCACAAATTTAAGTACTAAAAATGAAATAATTAGAATTAAAGAAACTAAAGATGTTAACTAAGTTTCTAATAAAGATATGTGTGTATAAAAAACGTTTAGAAGGTGGACTAAACTACATTTAAAAACGTTAAGCCACATTACAGGAGAAATATTTAAGCCTTTCTCTGCTACGAGTTGAGAATGCGTGCTTCAAATTAGAGAGTTAAAAATTTGAAGTATCTAAAGTCTTTACGTTGAGAAATCCCCACCTGGAGGTCTTACGTAGTTACCTGAGTACCTCTTACTAAGACAAAAGGTCTTTAAATAGTCCATTGTAAGGACCCCCAACGCTCAACTCGAGAGCTATGCGGGTTTTTGAGACAAAATCCTTGTAGAATTCACTTCGTGCTTTTATTGTTCAGTTTTCGTCGAGCCATTACTATGATTGGTGAGTTTTCAATGCACTTTTGATTTTAATCTAATAAGGAGTGTGGTTTTGAAATATTAATATTTGTGTTATTGTAACACAGCTTATAAAACACTGTACCTGGATCCATGTACTGAGAAATTATAGCATCAATAAAAATAAATCCATGATACAAATACACGACATTCGCGTAATAAGAACTACCGTGTTTTAATTTTTAGCCGACTTCAAGAAAGGAGATTCTCAATTCAAAACATATTTGGTAATCAAACTTTATCTTTCATTCATGAGAGCTCATTTATTTAAACAAAATATAATAGCTCTTGTAAGTGTTGAAATTACGTAGTCTTTTGAATAAGTCTATATATGCGCGATATCCATATCTCAACTTTAATTGTACTGTCGGAACAATGGCTCCGAATGGCACAGCTAAGATAGGGCGATACAACCTCTGCCGGGTCAGCTGGTTATGTATAAATTAACAGTGTGACGTTTCCGACATGTCTAGACGTAACAATTAGTCTACAGAGGCTAAAGAGAGATGCGAGCCATAGAGTCCAATGTTACAGAGCACAGATAAAAAATAGTATTCAACTATATTTATTATAAAGAAGGCACAAATCATTGCGGCCACTTATTAAGAGTTAATGATTATTCACACATAATGGTGTCGATAAAACTCATATTTGTTACTGTTATAAAAAGTGGCAAACTTCAAACGCAACGCCCACAAAACCTAGACTGTGTATATCAAAAATTACATCTGCTAGACAGGTGCTTGACTGACAGGGCACAAAGAAACACCACTGAATATTCATACTTCGACAACTATACTTGCGCGCGCGCAACGCCCTCGCTTGCTATTGGCCCGCCATTTTGATATTAACCAATAGCGCTATGGCGGCGAGCGAAGTGTAATTTTGGCATAATTAGTCACGCATCAATGTAACTATCGGTTCGAAATTATTTTCGTACGTGTTTAGAGTTTTCTTAGGGAGAAAATTGAGCGTGAACGCCCTGCTAACTTAAAGATTTGAAAATTAAAGGATCTGAATACGTTAACGGCAATTCATCGCTAAAACAGCTAATCGACATTAACAAGGAAAGTCAAAGAAAACAAAAGACCGCTATAACATTAGTATGATTTTTCATTATTGTTTCTTATTTAAAGGATAATCTATAGACTGTGGTAAAGTTTTGAAATCTAAAAGGTATAGAAAACCAAATTCAATTAGCATAGTTAACACATTGAGCGTTTTAAAAGTAAAATGTCCGTTATCTCAGCCCAGACAGGAAACACTGAACCACCCCCGTGCTTAGCGATTGACAAGAAATGATTTATGAATAATAAACAACGCAATATGGCGCCATATTGTTCTGAAATAACTTGTTCCCTTCGTTAATAGTTGAGTTTACTTATAGTTCGGAAGTTGAAGGAGCTAAATGTTTGGACATTTCAGTAATAGCCGAGTTTACATTAAAACTTACAGGTATTGGAAACGGAGCTTAGAGCAACGGAAAATCGGATCTAAATGAAAATTATTGAATTATATACTATGGCTTTAAAAATAATTACATTTATATAAAAGATAGACAGACGAGCTTCATAAAGTTGGGTAATAAGCTACAGACAATGTGTCTTTGAACAAAGATGTGCTCTTGACCTATTTATGAATTGCACAATTGGAATCTTTAAAATGATGAAGAAAATTTTATTTATGAACTTTAGCTTTTATTTCACTTTTTCGTCTGTGGGTGTTTTTTTACGGCCCAGAATTATTTTATTGAAGCAGTGTAGGATACAATTTTGTTAAATTATTTATCACTTAGGACTGTAGTGTGGCTTGGACTGTAATACGAACTAAAACTAAAAATATATATTATACTATCGTCTTTATGGATAAGTGGTGGAAATACCGAAAAATATAAAAAGTGTCTCAGTCAGGTAGAACTTCGTTAACACGGACATTAGTGGCTGTCCTTTGTAGTTGCGCAACAACTACTTTGAAGTTTATTGTGTTTTATTATGAATATTATAAGTATTAAATGCCAGCAAAGCCTTTAAGCATGTTTTTAGCCATGACTTGCCAAGCACATCTTGCGCTTTGCTTTAAAAAAGAAATCAGTATTTTAATTTAACGCTACTAATATACATTATATACGACATAATAGTTATTTTATTATGTTCTTGTGTATACCAATAAAACATCCCTATTAGCTATATTATTTGTTTAAAAACTTGACACATTATTAAAGTAATATGATTTTTAAATAGATACCAATATAGTGTGCCAAGTAACTATATAAATTCAACTGTCAAACTGCTTAACTTGAAGACGTGCGTATTGTGACTGTGACACGTATAATTAACTTTAAACCGTATGGTACAAGTTACAGAATTCAGCGGTTTCAGGTAAAAATTACATAGCATATTATTTTAAATTACAACAATATTTATTTGGCGTTGAAAATGTTTTTTGTACTACTACACTATTGCTGGCTTGTTTAAATTATACAGTGTGTTGTATGTTTCATAAAATTTAAGATATTAACTTATAAAAAAATGTATTAAATGTCAGACTGTAATTATATGTTTGAGATAGAAATAACGTCGAAATGCGTTACGTAACGAAGCCGTTTGTCCATAAAATGTACTCGTATATATAACACACCTTACCTTTAACTCAATCAAATTAATTGTAATAGTTTCCATCGATAGATATAATATATTCTTTTAAATCTATATTTTTGTATAATTTTGCTTCCATTACTTTCAGTAAAAAAGTATTTTTAGCAAAAATAGATATATAGATTATAATTTTATTCATTGTTTTGATTAGTATTATTGCATTTTGAACCTTACTTATATGTAAGTAAAACCTATTTTTACTTAATGTATGTAATATCTAGTTCAGAAGATAATTGCATACTATATAAATTCGCTTCCGCCTGTCACACGTTTCTTGCACACTCGAAAAGATTAAATCTCGTATAGGTGACAGCTACTCTAATCAACTTTCGAGCCATTGCCTTCGTGTGATGACGGTTTTAAGACCTATTACGTTTCCCGAGCACCGTGGTGCGGCTAATACCTGAGCATGAGATACCTCTAGCGGAATACTTTAGGAAATTTAGCGGTTTCCATAAAGGCTTCTAAATTAGAAGTGATAACTTCTTATGGTGGGGCTAAACTGCTTCGTTACGTAACGCGTTATGGGATCAATATATCCGGCTTCAAGTTATAATAGTAAATAGTTTAAGGTATGTCTTTTGTCGGGCCCTTTAAATTTGTAGTTACGATTTTTTAAACTGTTGTTATGGCTAACACATACGCAAAAAAATATGCTTTCCTTGTTAATTTATACTAAATGATATATTTAACATTTTTATGATCATAATAAGCATAGTCAGGTCGAAACAGTTGTATTTAGATTATTTTAACTTTTTTTGTGTTCGCTCAAATAAATCAAAAGTTCGAACTCTGTATTATATCGGCAAATATAGATTGAAAAGAAAAAAAGTATCTTTATTTCAGTATCGTTTTGTTCTCATTAATTATCTTGAAAAACAAGTATTGTAAATCATTATACAATAATTATGCCCTAAAATTAAATTAAATCAAACAAATACTTAACTTGCATTTCAAATTAATTCACCAGTTAAGGCTCGATCAGTCTCATTGATGTGGTGAAACCATTTTAATGAATCGTTTAATTGAACTTCTACTTACTTCCAAATGAGTATAGCTCCTATGAGGATTCCAAGAACGAGGACTATGGAACAGAGGGCGATAACAGCTGAAGTCTGCAGTGAGGGTCCGCTGTGGTTGTATGCATCGATCTTCTGAAAATTATAAGAAAATCTATTAATATACTAATAAAACGTATAAAAATTGTATAAGTAGTAATCATATCACGACACTAGCTGTGCCAGCGGCATCGTCCGCGTAGAATAGTAATATTGGACTTTAACACTTTGTATTTGCAATTATGCCTTATCTTTATAGGATATAGCTGTGGCCCACGACGTCGGCCGCGTCACTTCGTTCTTACAAGTTAATCTTAAGAGATAGACATATACTACGGCCGATATTTATTTAAATCATTTAATTTAAACCGTTTTTTCATATATGTTTTTGGTTAACTTGAATGCGCACGCAATGGAATTTGAAACTCTGAAAGTTAAATTTTCTCCGTTTGTTCCACATTTCCCTCTGTTACTTCGCTCTTATTTGTGACAGCGCGATGTCTTATAGCCAAAAGTATTCCTCGATAAAAAGGTTTTTCAATTAGAAGCAATAGTTCCTGAGATTAGCGGGTCAAACAAATAAACTAACTCTTTAGCTTTCTGTTGTGTTTCTTAGTCTGATATAGAAAATGTCAGCAGGGATGGTGCGTAAAAGTTAAAGAATCTCTAAAGAAATATATTTCCCTGCTGTACTTTTGTGATCCTTACTAGTCACGTATTTAGTTCAGTTGTAAAAGATATTTAGTAAAATCATTAATTTAAGGTCTATGTCATAATAAAAAAATAACTTTAATTATTGCACACCTCGCTACCGTTTGATAAATAGATGTTTGTATATTACTTTCTTTGTTCCTAAGTTGACCGATTTTTAATAAATTTGAAGTCTTTGTAGTGTTAGATCAAGAGCCCACGACGGCCAGACCTTCGTTATTTTATAAAAGTTGAAATTTTCTCTGTACATGTCTCCTATACGGGTAAGAACGACCAGCGACTATAGAGTTTTGGTTGTGGTTACTTGGGCAGGTAACAGGTAGTAAAGGTGTATAAAATAGTACTTAAAATTTGTTAGAGCATAATGCTCAATTTTTTTTATATTTTTTTCGGGATAACTATAGAAATCTCGTCATCCATTGCCGGACACTTATGACAGTTGCTACCCCTTGCCAGACACCCCTAAACTTTGATAAATTACAATTATACTTTCATTATAGTATAAAAGCTCAATTTTATATATGTTACTTGGGGACCTATAAAAAGATGTTACCTCAATAGCCGGACACTTTTTGTGGTTTTTACATCTTGCCAGACACATTGAAAGTCCACTGTAGGTGCGAGCGCGAATACTTAGTCGATTACTATTTTTTAAGATATCTAATAAAAAATAATTTTATTGCGTTCATAGCCATGTTGTATAAAGTAAAAAATATTAGTTTAATATCATAAAAATATAATAAAAAGTGTGATTACAGGTAAAAAAAATATTTAAACTTGTTTATTAATTTAAGCATTGTCGTCGATGTTTTCATTTTCTTCATCACTACTACTCCAATCGATGGCATGATCGTCCTCAACATCACCTTCTTCGTCAGTTTCTGAAAGAAAAATAAGCAAGTTTATACAATTATGAATAATTAAAAAATTATGTATCATAATTTTTCATAATAATTATATACCTGATTGAGTTTTGAGCGAATCCCTAACATAGCTCGGTAGTTGATCCCCTTCAAACCATTTGAACTGGTATTTGTCATCTTTTAATACCCAGCCGTTATTGTCTGGTTGATATGTGGTTGGATTTTTCAAATGAGCATTATTCCAAATGGTACATACATAGTTTGCTCGCAGAAATTGCTGCAGTAGCTCGCTTTTGCAAGGCGGTAAGTTGCTAGCGTCAACATTTCGCAACTTCTTTCGGTCAAAAGCTTCGTTTACATCGGAGACTGTGTACGAGTCGATGAATATTTGAAGTCTAGCGCCATCAACATCAATTACATTAGGGACATTGTAGGCATTACATATAAATCTCTGAATAATATTAAAGATGTTTTGTTGATAATTTAAATTTTCAATTAATTCGTTGTTGCCGAAGTTCTTGAAAGCTTCCTGGTACTCTGGATCTTTTTTTAATATCTTGTATGGTCTTAATTTTCCTTTTCTGAAGAGCACAATATTATTTTACCATCACTTTTATTACAAACGAAACAAATTAATGTATCTCCCATGATAACACTTTTTACTAAAATTATGCTTTTATTTCACAAAAAACTGCACAAATATCAATTATAAAACGTTGGTTGTATCTACACATAACAATTCAATACATCACTAAATAACAGATAGCGCGCAGTAAAAGAACGCACTTGACTAAGTGCTTTATCTCACTCGCACCCGCTTGAATAGTTGTTACCTCGCGCTCGCACAGTGGACTTTCAATGTGTCTGGCAAGATGTAAAAACCACAAAAACTGTCTGGCTATTGAGGTAACATCTTTTTATAGGTCCCCAAGTAACATATATAAAATTGAGCTTTTATACTATAATGAAAGTATAATTGTAATTTATCAAAGTTTAGGGGTGTCTGGCAAGGGGTAGCAACTGTCATAAGTGTCCGGCAATGGATGACGAGATTTCTATAGTTATCCCGAAAAAAAATATAAAAAAATTGAGCATTATGCTCTAACAAATTTTAAGTACTATTTTATACACCTTTACTACCTGTTACCTGCCCAAGTAACCACAACCAAAACTCTATAGTCGCTGGTCGTTCTTACACGTATAGGAGACATGTACAGAGAAAATTTCAACTTTTATAAAATAACGAAGGTCTGGCCGTCGTGGGCTCTTGGGCCATGTTGTCTATATGCGAAAAGTGTGCCTTAAAATGGATTAAGCGACTAAACTTTAACCTTGCCCGACGTCGTAGTTAAAAACTTCGCGTTTCAAACCGTTTAAAGTGTCTTATTTAGATATGTAGCTAATAGAATATATATACGTTAATTGTTTTTAATCCGAAACAAACCATAACTTAGGTATTATATAAAAAAAAACTTAGTGATAAAAATCTAAAAATACGAACATATTAATCAAGTTTATCAGGAAGAAAAATGTAATTTTCACGCAGCTGTGAATTACATACATTTAATTCACACCACAAGCACGCCATATTGCAATAATTATCTTTTCCATTTCTCCATTTTTTTGATGTTTCACACGCAACGGCCAATACAATGGATGATTTTTAGAGGGTTTCGAGGGGTTGTTTAGAAAATTGCTTTATTACGTGGCGTCAAATGATTGACGGGGAAAGGCGGTGTCTTTATTTGATATTTCGATGTCGTGTGCTTGCATTATGTCATTATTATGCACGTTCTGCTTGTGTGATACACACATACATATACACATACTTATCTAGATCGAACAGATACATTTATTTTCAACCTATACTTGATGACTTTATTTCTCTGCCCACTCAAAACTAAGTATTATGTTTCTCCAATTATTCAAACGTAGGACTCAATTAGTGCAATGCTAGACAATGCATTTTAGCATCGAGAATATATGTGTACAACTTAAATAAAACATTTTCAACGGTTTAAAACGCGAAGTGTACTGTGTTAATTAGGCTACAGACAGTACTTAAGTTTTCATTCGCAAGCTGTCGCATCAGTCAAAACAGTATCAAAAAAAGACCAGCCAACACACACTTAGCCCTGTTGTTGGAAGTACCTTTTAAGAAGGCAAAAGAAAAGGCTACGATCACGAATTTATTAACTAAGGATTATATATGTAGCTGACACCAGTGATTTACTTACGGAATTATTTTTCAATAACCAATTAATGTTACGAAAAACAGTGATTTTAGCTTATATGACGACTAAGATAATGATAAATTGTGTAAGTCTTTACGGCCATCGTTCAGCATATCATTGTCTTTCGGGCTGTTCGGCCAATATGAGCCAGAAGAGGTTCTCGACGTTTCGCCATCACGTGTGGACGGCATCATCAGGAGATGTTAACTCCTCGATTGCTCGAAGAATTAACTCTTCTCTTCTTGCTCACCTCGGCAGAACAGTCCGAAAGACAATGATAAGCTAAGGTAATGATGTTAACCAAAAGCCATGACTCAACTGGCTACTTTCAAGCTGGTACCAGATTCTCCTTAGAAAAATCACAAATACCGAACTTTTCGCCCGGGATTTAAACTCTAAATCTCACGATCTTAAGTCGAGTGCACCAACGAACAATTATAATCAACTTTCAATATAACTAAGTACTAGCAGAGATATAAAATGCAATTTAAAAGAACCATTTAGAAGCATCTGCAGATCGCAATTATTTCGCATTCAAGCAATTTCACCATTATACGGGGAGCGTGTTTTTAATTACAATTTCATGTGATAATTAAGGAAAGCACTGTTTGCGGCGTGAATAAATAAAAGCGTTTTTAGAAATGTGTATTTATTTGCGTATGAGGTTTGTGTATGGTTTTTACTATGCCTTGAAGAATGAATTTGGCTTACCTAAAAGTACAGACTGTTATTCTCCTAACACATAAACATGTCTACTATAGAAAATATGATAGTACTTCGACCCTATTTGGCAACGGCTATCGGTACCTTTGATCTAAAATTTAAAAAAATACGACACGGGTGGAACTTGAACCGGCATCCCCGTCTCGCGCATTCCAGGTGTCAATACAACCTTGCGTATTGTAGTACGTATATATATCTTTATATCTAAAACATATTTTAATGTACAAATCAGGATCTAACTTAAATTTTATCATTTTCAATTAGGTTTGGTAAGTAAACTTAGTTACAATATTATTTTTAAATATTTAAAACATATACACATATTATAACAATATATAAAAACGCCCCGGGCTCCGATTGTATTTAAAATGTTTAATACAAAAACGAAACCTCGTGCCGTAGTTAAGATAAGTTAAATAACAAATGTCGGGTATCAAACCGTTAAAAGTGGTTTATTTGAGCGAAAAACATTTTTCAATGTACACTGAATTACATAGATACTACTGGACTCCGCTATGTACAGCAATAAACTTTATATTAACACCTATATACGTGACGTTTAATT